AGGAACATAAATTTGAACAACTCTGGATACCACTTATTATTTATATGAAACATCAATTTGATTTGGACATTAATAAATTCAGGACTTCGCAATATTGGTTTGATTTTCTGAGAATATTGTATGGAAAATAGGATTTGCATGCTTCGTGATTGTTAGGAGGGTATAGGTTTAATTGTAATTATGACTTTATGCAATGCATGTGATGTTATGTCTGCATGTATCTTTATAACATGTTGTTGTTGTTGCTTGTCGCAAAGTCGTGTTCGACCCATTGTGACCCCATGGACAACACACCTCCAGGCCTTCCTGTCCTCCACCATCTCCTGGAGTCCACCTAAGCTCACACCAACTGCTTCAGTGACTCCATCTAGCCACCTCATTCTCTGCTGTCGCCTTCTTCTTTTGCCATCTATTCTTCCCAGCATTAGACTCTTCTCCAGGGAATCCTTCCTTCTCATTAGGTGGCCAAAGTATTTGAGTTTCATCTTCAGTATCTGGCCTTTTAAAGAGCAGTCAGGGTTGATCTAGGACTGACCAGTTTGATTGCCTTGCAGTCCAAGGGACTCGCAGGAGTCTCCTCCAGCACCACAATTCAAAGGCCTCAATCCTTTTGCACTCAGCCTTCCTTATGGTCCAGCTTTCACAGCCATACATTGCAACTGGGAAAACCATAGCCTTGACTATACACACTTTTGTTGGCAGGGTGATGTCTCTGCTTTTTAGTATGCTGTCTAGATTTGCCATAGTTTTCCTCCCCAGGAGCAAGTGTCTTTTAATTTCTTGGATGCAGTCCCCGTCTGCAGTGATCTTGGAGCCCAGGAAAATAAAATCTGTCGCTACCTCCATTTCTTCCCCATCTATTTGCCAGGAAGTGAGAGGACCGTTTTCCATTATCTTAGTTTCTTAATGTTGAGTTTCAAGCCAACTTTTGTGCTTTCCTCCTTCACCCGCATCAAGAGGCTCTTTAGTTCCTCTTCACTTTCTGCCATGAGAGTGGTATCATCTGCATATCTGAGGTTGTTGATATTTCTCCTAGCAATCTCAATTCCAACTGGTGATTCATCTAGCTCCGCCTTTCTCATGATGTGCTCTGCATATAAGTTAAATAGGCAGGGCAACAGTATACAGCCTTGCCGAAGTCCTTTCTCAATTTTGAACCAATCAGTGGTTCCATGTCCAGTTCTCATTGTTGCTTCTTGACCCGCATATAGGTTTCTCAAGAGACAAATAAGATGGTCTGGTACTCCCATCTCTTTAAGAACTTGCCACAATTTGTTGTGATCCACACAATCAAAGGCTTTAGCATAGTCAATGAAGCCAAAGTAGATGTTTTTCTGGAACTCCCTAGCTTTCTCCATGATCCAGCATATGTTGGCAATTTGATCTCTAGTTCCTCTCCCTCTTCGAAATCTTGCCTGTACTTCTGGTAGTTTTCGGTCCACATACTGCTGGAGCCTAGCTTGTAGGATTTTGAGCATCACTTTGCCAGCATGTGAAATGAGTGCAATGGTGCGGTAGTTTGAACATTCTTTGCCATTGCCCTTCTTTGGGATTGGAATGTAAACTGAGCTTTTCCAATCCTGTGGCCACTGTTCAGTTTTCCAAATTTGCTGGCATATTGAGAGTAGCACTTTAACTGCATCATCTTTTAGGATTTTGAATAGCTCAGCTGGAATACTGTCGCCTCCACTAGCTTTGTTGTTGCTCAGACTTCATAAGGCCCATTTGACTTCACATTCCAGGATGTCTGGCTCGAGGTCAGTGACCACCCCATCGTGGTTATCAGGGACATTAAGCTCTTGCTTGTATAGTTTCTCTGTGTAATCTTGCCACCTCTTCTTAATCTCTTCTGCCTCTGTTAGGTCCCTGCCATTTTGGTCCTTTATCATGCCCATCTGTGCATGAAACGTTCCTTTCATATCTCCAATTTTCTTGAAAAGATCTCTGGTCCTCCCTATTCTATTGTTTTCTTCTATTTCTTTGCACTGTTCATTTAAGAAGGCATTCTTATCTCTTCTAGCTATTCTCTGGAATTCTGCATTCCATTGGGTGTATCTTTCTCTTTCTCCCTTGCCTTTCGCTTCCCTTCTTTCCTAGCTATTTGTAAAGCTTCCTCAAACAGCCATTTTGCTTTCTTGCATTTCTTTTTCTTTGGGATGGTTTTAGTTGTTGCCTCTTGTACAATGTTGCAAACCTCCGTCCATAGTTCTTCAGGCACTCTGTCTATCAGATCTAATTCCTTAAATCTATTTGTCACCTCTACTGTATATTCATCAGAGATATGATTTAGGTCATACCTGAGTGGCCTAGTGCTTTTCCCTACTTTCTTCAACTTAAGCCTAAATTTTGCAACCAGAAGCTCATGATCTGAGCCACAGTCAGCTCCTGATCTAGTTTTTACTGACTGTATAGAGCTTCTCCATATTTGGCTGCACAGCACATAGTCAATCTGATTTCTGTGTTGACCGTCTGGTGATGTCCATGTGTAGAGTCGTCTCTTGGGTTGTTGGAAAAGAGTGTTTGCTATGACCATCAAATTCTCTTGACAAAATTCTACCAGCCTGTGCTGTGCTTCATTTTGTACTCCAAGGCCAAACTTACCTGTTATTCCGGTTATCTTTTGGCTTCCTACTTTAGCATTCCAATCCCCCATGATGATGAGGACATCATTTTTGGGTGTTAATTCTAGAAGGTGTTGTAGGCCTTCATAGAACTGGTCAACTTCAGCCTCTTGAGCACCAGTGGTTGGGGCATAGACTTGGACTATTGTGAAGTTGAATGGTTTGCCTTTAATTCAAACTGAGATCATTCTGTCATTTTGGAGATTGTATCCCAGTACTGCTTTTCCTACTCTTTTATTGACTATAAAGGCTACTCCATTTCTTCTGAGAGATTCTTGACCACAGTAGTATACCTGATGGTCATCTGAATTAAATTCACCCATTCCTGTCCATTTTAGTTCACTGATTCCTAAGATGTCGATGCTCAGTCTTGTCATCTCTTGTTTGACCACATCCAGCTTGCCTTGATTCATGGATCTTACATTCCAGGTTCCTATGGAGTATACATCTTTGCAGCATTGGACTTTCCTTTCACCACCAGATACATCAGCAAATGAGTGTCCTTTCGGCTTTGACCCAGTCGCTTCATTCTTTCTGGCGCTACTAGTACTAGCCCTCTGCTCTTCCCCCATAGCATATTGGACACCTTCCGACCTGAGGGGCTCATCTTCCGGCGTCATATCTTTTTGCCCTTTGGTACTGTCCATGGGGTTTTCATGGCAAAGATATTGGAGTGGGTTGCCATTTCCTTCTCCAGTGGATCACATTTTGTCAGAGCTCTCTGCTATGACCTGTCCGTCTTGGGTGGCCCTGCATGGCATAGCTCATAGCTTCATTGAGCTATGCAAGCCCCTTTGCCATGACAAGGCAGTGATCCATGAAGGAGTTATAACATGTTACATTATTCAAAAATGAATGCAACAATGAAACTTAAAGTCTGGCATAAATTAAACCATCCAGGTGCTTTTATTTATCAATTCTCATCAGTCTCAGAAAGCATGCCTAATGATCAAGAATTCTGGGAACTGTTGTCCAAAACATGGAGGGTGCCAGGTTGGGGGAAAGTTGACTGAAACCATTCTTATATGATAATGATGATGTGTGTATGTGAAAGAGGGCACATGATAAATCTATATATCTGTGGGCATTCTGGGAATGTATATTTGATGAGATTTCAAGCTGTAAAGATAGTAGATCTAAATCAAAACTGTTAGTTACAGAATTATTTGTGGAACCCAAAAGCTGTACTGAAAGAGCCTAGGAGGTGGGTGCTAGAGTTCAGGCAGTATGATATTTGTAAGAAAAGATTCAAACTAACAAGAGAGATGTGTTCCTAATCGATTCCTTGCCTCTACAGAAGGAGATTAAGGATAAACATCTTTAAAAGTTTCTTAAAGCCTTTGATGGTCATTCTAAGAGATTTCCTGACTAGGTAAAGTATCTTTGATCAAAAAGAATGGCCTGCCAAGAACTGTGTTGTTTTAAATCCTTGCCCGTTCAAATTCTGCACACTAAATTGAAAGAGTGAGATGACTGAATAATAGCTATTATTTGAGTGAATAAACATCCAAGATTGCCAGATGCGTTATTCAAAGGTCTATCAAAGACCTATCATTCTTGTCAGTTACAGTTGTTGTCATACTGTGTTTCTAGAGGAGATGATCAATGGAAACAGCTTGAACAGAGATACTTTAAAATCCCATTAAAGTATGTACAATATGCAGCCTGGATAATGCTAAATATAAACCTTCTCTCCTGCATATGTTAAATACAGTCATGCCTGTAATAAGCCCCTCTGTTTCTTCCCTTACAACATTCTCCTGATTAGAAGACTAAATCAAAAACAATATGGCTGACTTGACAATCTCAAGCAACTAAAATATTACAGCAAATAGTGAACCTGTGGAACGAATAATATACAGCAATGGCAGGGGTGGGAGAAGGTGATAGTGATATACTGAATTCCTGAGGACAATTACAGAAGCTGCTGGTTTGCTTAGATTCCAGTTCAGGTATAACAAAATTTCATGAATTAATCGATTTATTCAATGACACATAATTCAAACACAATACATTTAAGAACCAGAAGCTAATAAAATGTACCTGCTAAGCAAAGCACCTCTTCTACAAAGATCATGTTATCCTTCTGGAACAAGCAGGTGGCTAATCCTTTTACCCTAGAACAAAGGTGGGTCAGTTCTGCTCAGTGCAGAAGCATGGAGTCAGACACCCAATATTGCCCCTGCTCTTTGGTTTTGTAGCAACAGATAGAGAAGTATGTCAGTGGTTGCATCTAGGCTTTGGGGATTATAATGTTCTCTCTGGAGTTCTCCCCTTCCTTTCTCACTCTCATTTTCACCCTGTGGCTGTTCTGGCTCTATAGGGAAAAGTTCCCACATACTTTAATCTAGTTCTGCACAAAGATCAATAGAAGCCTACCTCTTGGGCCAGCTTTCTCAAGTCGCTTGAGCAAGATGTCCTCTGAGAAGGACCAGCCATTGTGTTTTTTTTAGTGATGGCTCTTGGGACACTTCTTTGCATTCTCAGTACATAACACAGTTGTTTGGAGTATTGCCTAAAAATACAAGTTTTGTGATTAGTTCCCTATTTCTTAAGCTATTTCATTAAGAGAAAACTCATGAGAATGGAAGGTGTGCTTTTGACTTGCTTGAACTATTGCTGTGCTGAAAAATTCAGCTAATTGCTGTTATATTTTGGCAATATCCAGTATTACACTTTTGACAAAAGGATATATTTTGGCAATATCCAGTAATTTCTGTGGGGAGCAAGTTGTTTCACAGTTCAGGTCTGTACTGGAATAGCCTTCAGTGTGCATTGATGATGCTCTTTATTTACTTGCTAAATAGAAATTAAGAAATGGAAGAGGAAATGGATTCTACCTTGACCCTTTTGACAAATAAAAGATTGAAACTGCAAAATTATAAATTCGAACACTTCCTAGGAGGCAATGCACTGAGAACCTTACAGCTCTTTTGAGATATGAACAGGTGGCAGATAAATGCCAACTTGAGATGGGTACATTTTAATATTTGGTCTGCTGTTGTTAAAACCTATGTATAGTTGTTATGAAGTTCTATCCATTTCATATACAGCAATGTATGTATAATGGAGAGGGGAATTTTGGGTGCCCACCTGCACCATGGCAGGGACCGCCTTGTAGCTTCCACTGTAGGCTCCTATACAAACCACTCCTGAAGCCCCTTCTTTAACCTTTCTCATGCCTCAGGGAGCATTTAACAGGCATTTGAGGCACTGTCTGTTCTGGTAGTATTACAGCTTGAAAGAGAATCTCTTTCATTTTAGACTTTCTATTGAGCCATACCTCTCCAACTCTTTAAAGTTATTTTTGAAAGAGTAAAATGAATGGCCCCTTTTCTCATTCTTTAAGCACCTTGCAGGAATAACAGAACCATGTTGAAAATAGTCTCTTTCTCCCACCACCATTTTAGGTGAATTCTCTTTCTCCTCACAGTCATTCAAGTCAACAAAATATTTGTTTCCTATTTAAGAAAGCAGTTATTTCAGGTACCCACAAATCATCAGTGTTTTATAAAAGGACTATTTGGTGTGTAATAAGAAAAGGGCAGATATGGGCCTTATTCATTCAAGGACATTGTAGGGTGCAAGGGAGAGGGAAGACAGAGTGAAGTGTGCAGTATTCAAAAGTCTCTCATCTTCTTCAGTAGCTGTAATCAGTCAAGTGCTTATGTGAAGGGTGGAAATTGCCTCTCAAGAAGGAGGGGAAATGCAAGAATTGATCAGGGAAAACTACGTGTGTGTGTGTGTGTGTGTGTGTGTGTGTGTGTGTGTGTTTTAAATCTGGCATGTTAAATCAAGATATTTCGCAAGAAAATGATTCCTCTGCACCCCAGTGAAAGGCTTCTGTCTGCTATGTGAATGGTACACAGTTATGTATAATCCTTGTCTGCTTTTAGCTAGATCTGAGCCTTCTAGATGTTTCGGACAACTCTCATAAACTCCAGTCCTGACTATGCTGATATGGGTTGATGGAATTTGTAGTACAACACATCTGGAGAACAGCAAGTTGGAGAAAGTTATCTTGGTGCATCATTTCCTCAGCATTAGACTTAGGTCTAGTTTGCATCATGCATTTCCTGTCTGCAAAACAATAAGCATGGGTGTGGGTATTCCAAAGGTTTATAAAACAGACCTATTTGTTCAAATCTAAGTGTTTCTGTTCTGATTCTAAGAACTGAAATTAATCAGCAATTTTAAATTACACAGAACATCCCAACAAGCTCCAAGAAGATAATGTCACTCTGGAAACAAAATATGTCTCATTGTCACAAATAAAGGGTTCCCTACTGTAGCTTTGTCTTGTAAAAATGGTAGTGCTGCTCCCCAGGGCCTTTTCTGCATGGGATTATGGGCAGCCCCTCTGGCGGTCCTTCACAGGGCAGCCCCCTGGCATCTTCACTATGTACAGTGGAATGCCAGGTTAAGACCTTCTTAAGGAGCCATTTAACCTTTCATTAGTTGCATTATTATACTGCTGGCTCCTCATGATTATAATGTCTTTAAAATGTTAGTGTTCATTATTTTGATGCTTGCATTGTTGTAGTATTACATTCATTCATTCATTCCTGTCTATTTTGTTATCTATTTTTGTGACCATAAGCTGTCCCAAGGGCATTTGCCAGTTGGGTGGCATAAAGATCTTTTATCCGCAAACAGAAATGAATAGAAGCAAACAGACTCCTGCAGCAGGCAGAAAAGTTTCTGGCCCTGCATCAGATCTTGAACCTCTTTGGAGCAGAAGAATCCTCTTGGTTCATTTAGCCCATTCCAAAATAGCTGCTCCAACTAACTGAAGTGTGCCAAATACTGGTAATGCTATTACTGCTCAATCAAAAGAGTTTTGAAAATACTGATATACAATATTTTTAAAAGGATACATTTGGTTAAAAAAAAATCCACAGCACTGCAATATGCATGTTAGTCCCTTTAAGATATGTGGGCAACCAACAATGATATGGCATTTGTCATATAAGATCTCTAGTATCGAATCAATTACCTTGCATTTATATCTCTGAATCTTTATAGCACTTCACTCTGATAGTATCCAAAAACTTTGCTCTCTATCTAGTGGCTTTAACAGCAAATACTGCAACCCTCTGAATCACATATGGGGTTCAATGACTGTTAAATACCAGGGTGCATGTTCTCCTTTGCACCCTGGTATTTAACTTTCTTCCACAGAGGCTCTAAATATATTTCTATTATGTCTCTATATAATTGACGTTCAAGTACATAATGAGCCAAATTTTGAAGAGTTGGTTCTCCAGAGGCACAGACCCCATCTGGAAGGGCATAGTATCTCCCCATTTCATCTTAGTATCTATGTGTCCATATCTTAGATGTGTGAAGGCTTTCCAATATTTCATTTCATAGAGTCTGACAAATACTTTCTATAATGGTTCTGTTGCTTTGTGCTAGCTAACCGTGCAGGTGTTTTGAATTATGAAAGAGCAATTATATCAGTTTGCATTTCTACATCAAATAGTCTTTGCATGTCAAATACTAATTTTGGATGTATGATTCCAAAGTCTACAGAGAGGTGCCAGGGTGTTAAGGAAAACATCAAGGAACTTCATCTTCTGTTTAAGTCCCTGAACACTGATGCATTTTCAGACAATGTTGTTGTTACACTTATTGCAAGCATTTCTGTCCCACTGTTCAGTCAGTCAATAGACACTCAAAGCAGCTTACAAATATCAAGGGGGGGAAGGGAAGAATCATGAAGTTGTTTGAATTATTTACACAGATGGATAAGTAAAAACACGCACACTCATAATAATTGTGACCTCCAAATTCTTAACAATACATTGCCCATTTCACATGATCAATATGAGCCATGGCAGCCTGCCGGGAACCACACCACATTCCACATGTGATTTGCACTATCACTACCTGGTTTATTGTATCATCTGAATCTGGACAGCCTAGGTTGTTGGAAAGTTGTACAATCCTCTAATGACCTATATACATCCTGTTGAAATCAGGGTAGCTAGCTCCAGGCTGTACTGGGGGTACTACAACTTAAAGGAAACACAAGCTTCGGCGAATGGGGCGGCATAGAAGTTTCCTAAATAAATAAATAAATAAATAAGCAAGCTGAAAGTGTGAGATGGCAGCCCAAGATTGACAGACAAATTATCAAGGAATATCTAGTTGGAATAAACACATTCAAATCTCCAGGGCATGATGAACTCCAGAGTTAGAAAGCATCTAGTAGAGGAACTCTCAGAACCACCACCTATTATCTTCAATGAATCCTGGAAGACAGGAGAGGTGCCAAGCAACTAGAGAGAGGCTACTGATGTCCCCATATTCAGAAAAGGAAAAAAAGACAAAACTGGGAACTGCAAACCAGTTAGTCTGACATCAATGTCTGGAAAATTCTGGAGCAGATTATTTAAAAATCAGTCTGCAAGCACCTTGAAGAAAATGCAGTGATTAATTAAAAGCCAACAAGGATTTATCAAAAATAAATTCTGTCCGACAAATTTAATCTCATTTTTTTGACTGGGTAACCTCTCAACTGGACAGAGAGAACCCTGTGGACATAATCTACCTTGACTGTAGCAAAGCTTTCAACATAGTGCTCCATGACATCCTGATAGGCAAATTAGCAAAAACATGGACTAGATAGAAAAACTATTAGGTGGCTACTAAATCGAACACAATACTCATTAATGACACCCCCTACAACTGGAGGAAGGTAACTAGTGGGATGCTGCAGGATTCAGTGCTATGCCCAGTACTCTTCAACATCTTTAGGAATGATTTAGATGAGGAAGTACAAGGAATGATAATCAGATTTACAGGCAGTACAAAACTGGATGAAATACTAAACACCCTAGAAGACAGAATGAAAATACACAGAGATCTTGATAAACTTTGTTGCTAGGCTGAAAATAATGGAATGAGATTCCGTAGGGACAAGTGCCAAATCCTCCACCTAGGAAAAAGAAACCAAATGCAATGCAGCCACAAAAACTGCAAATGCTATTTTGAGATGCATTAATAGAAGTATAATATAATTCTCCTTTTCTCACTCTTGTCCTCACAATGACAACAATAACCTTGTGAGATACACTGGGACAAAAGCCTGTGACTGGCCCAAAGTCACCCAAGTGAGCTCCATTACTGAATGGGGACAACCTCACACTATGACTTTCAAGATTCAGCACTCACCACAAGTCTGTTAGGGGCTGTTGTATGGCAACTTCTCGGGTATACAGATTTCTAGAGCTCTTATTTAACAGAAAAGAAAACTGAAGTTGGATGTATTCAAAGATCTCAGGAGGATCTACTGAAACCGAATGAGGGCAGATTCAGGGCAGACAAAATGAGGCACTCCTTCACAGAGTGCATGGTTGAACCATGGAATTTCCTACTATATGTGGCCCACTAATTTCAATAATTTTTAAGGAGATTTTTAAAAATTATGGGGAATACATTTCTCAATGCTTACTAGA